GGAGAAGGCTTTTTTTTTTTTTACTTAAATAGGCTCTATTACAAATGACAGTGTCAAATGCACCTCCTCCCCTGAGCAACCCACAGAACAGTTTAACAGTGAGGAGTTGCGTGGGAGAGGAGCTGTTCGGTCCTTCGACATCCATAGGGCCCTCTGGCTCCATTTGTAAGACTAAAGAATAATTATATTATCTTAAGTAAGTGTCCTCTTTACTCCAGTGTAATTTGTGGGGTCTTTCCAGATGGGCAGACTTAGCTTCTTCTCTGACTGCCTTATGACTGCTCTCAGCACGATGATGATGTCACAGTGCCACACCTTTGAAGACGTATCCCACTTCTCATGACTAAGAGCAGCAGCCATAGAGACCAGGATAATCTGGAGCAGTAGCACCATTTCCACTATGAAAGTCATTTTGCTTGTCTTTTTATCCCTCCTAGTGTCTGCAGAGACTACCAGAAAATTTATTTCACCTGACGGTATGTTCTAATCAAAACTTTATTCTGGTAAAAATTATTACAGAGCTTGCATTCTGCTAGATATAAAAAAAGGCAGAAGGTATTTCTTCCTTTCATTATTTTTTAGTTAAATGAAGTTTTTCCTCAGAGAGCTTAATAAGACTGTTCCCTTCCACTGTGGTAGCACTGTTGTTTTGAAAACATATTCTGCAGTTGGACTTGTTCTGCCCATGTGCAGGTGCAAAAGCGCATAGGAGGCAAAAGTGCACAGAGCTTGTCCAGCACCTCCAGCAACCCCACAGCATCCAGTCAGAACATAACCATTACAGCTCGTAACACCAGAGAGAAGAGCATCTGCTCACAACTCTGTGAACAAGCAACGAGTTGAATTGGGAATTGCACAAGGTTTGCCCCTGAGCTTTCCAATGGTGCAGGGACAGTCAATCCTGCAGATACACAACAGAGTTCAGTCCTCAGGAACTGCAAAACAGTGACACTGAAACACTCTCGACTGTTCCTCTGGGTGGATCTGGCTCAGATTCACTGTTTCACAAAGGGAAAGGGAAAAAAAAATTGTTTCATGGGGTAAAAAAAGGACTATTGGTTTCCTGACCATTGCAGCCGTTATCATACACTCCAGACCCAAGACTGGAATATTGCTTTCTTAGCATGTGTAATTTTTTGTCCTGACTGAGAAATATTCTGATTGGCATGCTGTACTGTGAAGGCTGCAGATTAGAGCAAGGTGGGAGCCTGATGCAGGAGACAGTTCCTGAATGTCAGTGTATGTACACAGCTGTTGGAAACAGGCCATATTTAGAAATATAGACTATTGAGATCTTAATTAAATAATAACAGTGTTTTTAAAAAGTGAATAGTATTGCTTTATAATTCATTAAACTGTTTTTAGTCACTTGTTGCAGCAAACATAATTTGCAGCCTGTCAAATCATCAGCAAATAGTTTTTTGAAAAAACATGTATTTGACTAAGCATTTATTGACTAAGCATTTTCTGGATTACTTCAAAGTAGCACTACCTGGAGATTATTTGGAAGAGGAGAAGGAAGATGATGATGATGACGATGATGAAAAAACCACTAATGTTGAAAAACGTCCTGGTAAGAACATTATAGAAACTAGTGAAATGACATTAAGTTGCAAAATATAGATATTCTGTCACTTCAGGATCAGGTATTCAAAATTTTATGTGAAGTGGAGTTCTCCCTTTTACAGAATGTGAACTTAATGTTTGCAATCCCTGCTCATAAGAGTGTTTCAAGGAGTTGCTGTCTCCACACAAACCAACTGAATGGCTTACCCATTCACACAAATTCAGTGGGGAGTTTGTAGTAACAGGATTGGATAAATGCACCTAAGATCCTGTTAGCTACGTCCTTGAAACAGAACCCTGTTCTTTGATCATGCAATGGCATGCCTAGTGCTTATAGATGGGACAGAAATGAAAAGCCTGTCTGTGGTGGGAGAGAGGAAAGAATGGACTATAGAACATCTCAAGGACAAAGTCAGCTCGGCTCTTTTTCTGGCAACATCTGAAATACATAATTTGTAATACCAGAGCATTATAATATTAAAGAATGGAATTATAAAATACGCCTGTAAGGAAAAGATTTTAGTTACCTGTTTCTTCCTCTAATGCATCAGAAAGGGGAAGATGGAAGAGAGAGGAACTGTGCTGTACTATTCAGTCCTTGAACTAAGCACATTCAAAATTTGTGCTATTCATTTATAAGCATGTTATTGACTGGACACAAAAAAGATTATGAATAAAAAAAAAAGAGGAAGAAACATCTTATATGTGGCCTTCAGAACACTCATTTCAATTGCACTTCAGGCAGTTACAGAATAGTGCAATCCAAATTTTCAAAGAAGAGAATGGTTGGTTTCTCTGTAAAAATGACTGCATTTAATAAGCCACAAATCAGTTAAAGCACAACTATGTAGTTTGAAAACCATCTCTCTCACTTGGCTGTGGCTGCTTTTGTGAATACTCCCATTGTGCTCTTTGGAAAATGCCAGATTTACATGGCAAAGAAAGACAGGAGTTTAACTTAATATGCATTCATTTAGACATTTCTGCAAGGACTTCTGTGTCCCAATTTGATGATGGAGAGGATCTGTTAAAGAAGAGTATGCAAAATTTGCAGGAGAAATGTAAGTAGCAGAAGATACCATTTAAGCAGTGTGAAACTATATACAGCTGTTTAAGTAGTAGTAAGGTCCAGAAAGAAGAGCCTGGTACACATATCGGGCAGCTATGCATCTCAAATTATATCCTGTGTTGCATTCATTTGTTACTGATACAGCTGTTCTAATAACAAGACAAATTAATGAGAGGTTAGGTGAAGAAATCCTAAATTAGTCCCAAACTACTAAACAAAATTACAGAATGACAGGTGAGAGAGGAGAATGAATGTCTTGCTGCCCTCCCACCTTTTAACAAAATACGCTCATAGACATAATTTGACTTGTGGGAAATCAGATCCCACAGGTTCCCACTTCATTTCACTACGTTTCAAGAATCCTCTTATCCTGTCTACTGCTCACTGGTGACCTTTGTGACCACCAACACAGTTTACAGTTCATGTTTAAAGAGAGCCTACACTGAATTAATTGCAGAAAATAAGTAACGCCACAGTGTCTGTCAACACATGTGGCACTGTGTACAGATTGACACAGTCCCTTTCCAGTTCTGCCTGAATCATTCCTCTAAGATATTTCTGTTACAATTTAGACTTAACAATTGAGGATGATTAAAATGGACTATAACAGTAATGTATTTTTTTGCTGAGTGACTAACTGCATATAGGAAGGGACATACTGGTGCTGGCTATTACACTCATCAACTCTGCCAAGAAGCATGAAAGGTGGTCTCATGAACAAACTGTTAACCCATCCAGAACACCAGAGACAAACGACACATTGCCTTCCATACATGGCCATCAAAAATCAAATATGAATCTGGAAAATGCTTCTGCAAAAATAGCTCTGCCTTAAAATTCATATGTAGATCGGGATTTTTGTAAGTAGTTAGTTTCTATTCCTAAAAGATTCACCCTGCCTAACTTCAGATTCTTTATTATTACTGCTTGTAGCAAAATTCATCTCCACCAAAGGAGTGGAAGAGGAGAGTTCTCAGGAAGAGCAGGCACTAGGTAACAGCTAATTGGTGTTTTCATTGGGGTTTCCAGTATTATACCATCACACTAAAAAAAACTGTTTTGACATGCTGATCTGACACGATTTTCCCAGTTTCACTAAGCTCAAGACCAGGTATTATTTTGCTATTTGTAAGTTCATAACATAGCTATTTCAAGTTCTCAATTTTTTAATCACTGCAGAATTGCAAAGTACTAGAGAATAAAACATAAGGGTTTTTTTCTAAAGAAAGCAGTTCTTACCACTTCTCCAATCATGTTTGCTAGTGAACTACATTAATTTCTGATTTTCCTAGCTTTTAGGCTTTTGACAATAATGCAGCAGGTTTCCTAGGCATGCTTCCTCGCCTTCCCTTTCATCTCAGATGTTGAACTTCCTGATTTTTCTTCCTCTGCTTTGTCTTAGCAATAATCTTTGCAGCTGTTCTTTTTTTTTCCCCCCAGAATCCAGATTTGGACCCCATTACCATACCACTCTCACACAGAACCACACTGAAGAACCACCTTTGGATGGTACGGTAGAGGACTCAGCAAAAGATTAAATAGAAGTTCAATTCTTCTACCTAGACAGTATAAGAACAACAGCAATTCTAAATTCGGTGGGCAAAAATGAAATGAAACTTGAAATCAAGACACTTTGTCACATTTTCATCTGAGAATCACAGACGAAGTAAAAATCATTAGGCAAGCCCTGTCATTGAGACACGCACATATTAGCAGGTAAACAAACCGAAGTCCCAAGATGATGAAACTTAGCACGGGCCATATTAGCAAGCTATAGAAAAAGTAATGCAAATAAGTACTTTGAATCTGAAAACATGCTTCTATCCCCAAACCTTGAAGAATGCTTTAGTTTGTGTATCTCTTGTTTTCTTACCTCCAGTTATATTTTATTACTACTTTGCAACTGAGGGAAAATGTTAAACGTATTCGCAAATATATGGATGAAGTTAAGTTTCTACTGACCTGAATGGGAGACATGCATTTGTGTGCAAAGGTACAATTTGGCCTCTGAGATTGTATGTTTTTTATCCATATTGATTCATATATGAAACAGCAGTATATGCTTTCTCTATCTCTGGCAAAATAAATCAGCTTGTTTCTATTTCAGAATAGCTAGAAAAATACACCAACCTCGCTTTATTTTCTAACAAAGAGCTAATAAACAAAAGCATTTCTATAAACCAAACTAGAGAAAGGAAAGAAATTATCCTAAAAGGTTTATCTGTTTGTTGTGAGTTTGTATATAGGATCATAAAAGGTGAAATAAAAAGTTATTGCTTAAATGTAAGGTTTTCCTTGTGTAATACCGGAGTATTACTAAATCTTACATTTTTCAGATTCAAGAGCCAAATTTATGAATGTTTATGAGGATGTCTCTGAAAGTAAAGGGAGTTTCACCCTGATAGATAAAAGTAGCTTTATGAGTGGTTTGGAACACTTTTCTGACTGAGAATTAGTCACCATTTAAAAACTATATAGTGCTAAAAGCAAAAGATCTGATTGCTACTGCTTATTAGAACGAATTGCGCTTAGGAAAGTTAACAAGATCTAGGAGAAACTGAGAGGGGTTTAGATCTAGATGAACTATAGCAAAACTGTAAAAAGCAGTAGAAAATCTTAAAATATTAAAAGACAGTGACTAGCTCACTTGAGACAGCTCTGAGTTTCATTCCTTTTCACAGGCAAGAGAAGTAACAATGTTGAAATCAAGTGTGTTACAGCAGTCACACACAAACTGTTTTAAATCCTTCTAGAAGTGCCAAGTGCTTGCAAATTATTTATAATCCCACTTGTTGCTCTTGAAACAAAAGAATTAGCTATGTATTTAAATAACAGATGGAAATGCAGAAGAGATGGATTTTTTTTAATTGCATCAAAGACATTTTTATCATCAAACAAGAGCACATAATCAAGTTTCTGATCTCAATGACATCAGACACCATCCAAGCAATGTATTTTTCCAAGAAGGCATTTCTTCTAAGAAAGAATATAGTATAGCAGTCTTGTTGCTTTTGCACACAGTAAAGTAGAAATATGTAGCATCGATGGCTCCATGGATGCTTAAGACCACCCCAGCTCCTCATAGGTGAAAAAATGGGTTATAGTAAACTCAGAGTAGTAGCATCCCCACAGTCCCTGGGGACTGCTGAACTTCTTCAGAATTACTCCTTATGATGGATACAAATCATGTCTAGAAGGATTGGAAGATGTGCTTTGCAAAGGCCAATTCATCGACAGCTAAATGGATTTGAGTTTTCACAGAACTAGTCCTTTTATTAAGAAGTGCTTATTTTTATTTGCAAATCGCATAGATATAATCCATTTCTATGTACGTCGATTTGTCCAGGACATTGCTGTGTGCGTACTAGTGGTGTGGTGTGCTTTACTGTTGTAGTGTCAGACAATGCTGATTTGCTTCAAAGGAACACAGCTCAAGAAACCATCCAAGAAGATTTTAAAGTAAATGTAATGCTTGCTGTGTCATGTACAACTCTTGCCTGCTCCTTAATATTTATGATATGCTGTTGTATGGCTTTCATCAAGTACAGAACGGAAAAAGGGTAAGTTTTCGAATCACGTGCTGTGCTTTATTTTATTATTTGGATAGTAAAGTAAGGTGCTACTCCAAACATAGGATTAAAGACTATGCAAAAATGTGATAAAAGCTCAGAAAGGCTGTACACACATATAATTAATTTGCTTACTTTTTCCCCTGCAAATGAAAAGTGAAGGCAGAATTTATTAAAAAATAGAAAGTTATATTATTACCAAGAGTGTTTGTACTCAACATTTCCTTATAAGTTGAGATGCTCCCCTTTGTCAGTTCACATCCTGAAAAAAACAAAAGTTCAGTAATTTATTACCCATTTTCAACGGTATCTGTTAAGTTTCTATTGGATTCCTCTGGTTAGAATAAAGTAACGATTTTTGTTCTGTGT